GCGCTGAGGGAGGCGGTGCCGGGTGCGTGGGCAGGGGTTGTGCGGAAAGCGGGGTCCTCGGGGGTGGGGGAGCGGGAGCGAGTTCTCACCCCTGCAAGGAAGGCTTGAGATGTGGGTGTGACCGGCGGGGAAAGGCACGGGCCGGCAGCGCCCGACGAGCGTGAGGGAGAGGTGGAAGTATTCTCAAGCTTCGTTTAAGCCCTTGCTAAAAACAGGTGTATTTGTTTAAATCTCAATTGCAAACAAGCATAACGCACTGTTAGCAACACTTCATACATACTTTTATACATCACAATTCAAGCAGACAGCTTCCAGGGCCAGCTGAGGCCGGGGTCAGCCTCATGTGACATGAGGGGAGAGGCAGACCAAACCTTTGAATGGGTCCCTGCCCTGATACCTCTCCTTCCTTCACCCCCAAAAACCTGAGAATACAGGGCTGCAGCAATACAACAGTATCAAAGTGTCAAGGAAGGTAGCTCCTTCATTATAAAAATCACAGCCTGAATTTCCCTCTGGACAACAACTTCAAGCATTTCACTGATAAAACTTAGAATTAGTTACTTACAAACAGATTTGAACTTGGTCTCTGACTGTATGGATGTGACTAGTAAATGATTCTTTACAAAACCTATTCATAAAAGCTTTATGGGCATTGTTGCTATTAGAACTTCAGGCTCGGACATCACCAACACAGAGCTACTATGGAGGAGCAACAGACACCCACTTCATAATCACAATTGCACTCTTCAGCAAGACCATGCAACTGCTGTACATCCTCCAGTAGGGATTTTGGGGAGAAAGCTGGTACAGTATACTGACCTCACATTGTCACCATCAGGGAATACAGCACTGAAACATTCAAACCACAAATATTAGCACAAACAAGGGGAAGATGGTCCTTGAGTCATACTGCTGTGTGTAGGATTTCACTGTAACATTATAGAAGCAGTACTAAGGAGGCCACGGCAGTATAAAATACAAATGATTGAGAACATTCTTCCTCAAGTCATGTCTCTCTTTTAGGTAAAATTACATGTACACAGAAAGGGCAGCTTTCCTGACTCCCACATGTAGAGCCTGCAACACATATGAACAGTGTGTGACTTCCAGTAAGTACGTATGCATAAACATATTTATTTATATAAACAAAAGCATACAAACCATACAGCATCAAAACTTCAGTAAGGTTTATTATTATTATAATAATTATTATTACCACTTTAGGAAACTTATCAGTATTTTTTAAACCAAAATGTGACTTCATTATCTTTAGCAAATATGTTTTTATACTTTCATATTCTTTATTCAATTCTCCAGCTGTAGTTTAGATTGCTGAAGCAACATTTAAAGTATTATCAAGATCACTGATACTTTGAGATAAGCATACAAGCTTATCTCCAAATTCCGTTACAGGTCTGTAAAACTTTTTCAGTCATTTAAACAATCTCCAGGTTAACAGTACCTTGCAATGCACCTTGAGAAGTTCCTTAAATAACATCATTCAAAAGCAACAACATTTGCACTTAAAACATACAAATATCTACCATTAGAAGACAAAGAAGTTCACAAAACTACGTATTATAGAAACTTAATACAGTTGACAGGGATTGTCTTTTTGAACAGTGTTGTGTTTGGGGGGGCCCATTTCTAACACATTTGGAGCATTCTCAAGTTCTGTCAACTTTGCAAGCTGACATCATGTAGAGGCAACTGCCCAACTACCTTGAAGAGAAAGTGGACAGACGTTAACCTCCACAACATTAGCTCTCCATCACAGAAGAAAGCAGCAGAAGAGTGGTTTAATGCAACAACACAGAGAGGATCCAGACTTCTGATGTCTAGGTTACATGCAGCAAGGTATGGGTAAGTTACAGTAAGCCTACCAGCATTCACTAAACATTTTTGCAGCACTCTGATCAGAATATATAGTACTTGTTCCACAGAACATGTGAATACTCCTATTTCACTTTGCATGTTAAAGCTTCCTTGCGTGTAATTCTGAAAATATACAGTGCAAACCATGCCCAGATCCATTCAGGAAGACGCTCACCCAACGTGAACTGTGGAGAGACACAGGGAGACAAGAGAAGAGAAAAAGGAAGGAAGGGAAAGATTAAGATATATTCAAATAAAGTAAGCAAACCATTTCTCAATTTACAACTAATGCAAGGCAAAACTTGCTTGAACATTAACAAACTAAGCCTTAAATTCAACCCCCTCAAATTACATCATTAGCCATTTTGGAAGTAGTGCCCATAGCTAGGTTCTGCAAATAAATCCTGAAGTAGTTTGTTCAAGTTCACGACAGCAATACTGTCTACTTCCTTTAATTGCCACAGTTGTTCCTGTCTCTTTTATTCTTGTTGGACTAATCCCCACTTCTTATAACTCCTTCTGCTTGACCTAATGCTACAGAAAGCCACTAGGTAGGACACATGAGATGTGACCAATGTTCTTAAAATTACTTTGCAGCCCAGAGTCTGCCCCTCAAAATGAAAACCTAACAAATGGAGGACGTGCTTTTAGATAGCTTAGAATAAAAATGTGGGCTTTTCTTTCTGCTATTATTCCATCCTCTGTACCCACTCTTCCCCAGAGTAGAAATATACTCACTAAAGATTGAAAAAAGCTACTTCTGTTAGCAAAGACGACAGTGAAATGCTTGCCCAGTCAGCAACACCCCAAGTCAAACAAGATACTCTCTACTTCTGAATAAAAAGTCTCCCATTTTTGCTGTGCATTAAGTGGGAATTGGATTCACTTAGCCTAAAAATAAGCATGCCCAAGCATAACTTTCTAAAGCAGAATTAGTAAGAAAATACGGCACAATGCCTTTTAAGTCCTGCAATAAATACTGCACTTTTTCAGAATATGAGCATAGTTTTCATTCAGTCTCCTAAGAAAATAAACAGCTTATTTAACTTCTACTGATAAACATTAAATACTTTTATAGATTATATTACCTTTATTGCATGCTTCCAGTAACCAGTAGTCCTTGTGGATAACCCAAGAGTAGAAATAGCATGACTTGCATATTCTTCAGCAGAAGGAAAAAAGAAAGATCTCTTTGATGCCATGCCACTGCATGATGCCATTTTAGTAGAAATGACAAATGGAGTTAAACTCTGAACAAAAATTCCTTTTGAGGCACACTCATAATATAATGCTCTACTGAAATAGTCCAGATAGGTCTAGAAAGACAAAAACAGAAAGAGACACTGGAATAATCAGTATAAAAATACACACTTCTAAAGTATTATCAACATTTCTGTTTGTTGTTATTTGTTTGCTAAAAACCTGCAACAGTAGAGTAACTTGCAAGACAAAATGACTGCTTAACTCTCTGATGTGAATCTGGCAATGTTACAATTCTGCTTAAAAACAAACACAGTAACATTTATTTCATCTAAAACAAACACCTTGTTTAGTTTGGGGGCATTGCAAAGACACTCCAAAGCTGACTGTTCATATAACTGTCAAAAGGACAAAATGAGTCCCATTCTTCAAGACATTTACAAGTGAATTTTATATTCAGCTTCCCCAGAAGCTAGGTTAATTACTTCCTGGGGTTCCTTTGATGCAAAATAAAACATTTGTTTATTTATGTGCATCTGTATTCTCATTTAGCTCATTTTACTTTTACAATACAACAACAACAAACAAACAAACAAAAAAAAAAAAAACCAACAAAACAAAACAACCAAAAAACCACTAAAAAACCAAAACAAACAAATAAAAAAAAAAAAAAAACAGCAAAACACAAGTCTGGCAGCTGGGATTGCTGGAATCAGATAGAAAAATGAGCACAGCTCAGTCTTACCAAGGCAGCAACACTGATGCTGTACTGAAGCTATTGTTGTGCTGTAAAGCCAGTTACCCCTGAGAAAGAGCATTTTAGGCTTTGCTTGTGAGTGAATGGGCTTCTGATCCCAAACAGACATGCAAAATTGTCAGGAGAGCATCTTCTACAAATGCTCTTACATCTGCTTTAGGAAAACAAAACAATCCAACCACTTCAAACACCATACACTGTTAATGCACAGAGGCTTAGGATGCTTGTTCATACTGCCATGCCCATGTAATAATGTTCGAAGGCCAGGCTTTAAACTGGATTGCTGATAAAGGACTTGGATTAGCTGAACCCAGGACATAATGCCAGCTAAAGAGAAGAAATTTGGATACTTTTTGTTCTGTTCTTTTTCATCCAGGCCTTTTAATTGTTTTAGTTCAGAGCGCAGTTCTACATACACTTAGCATAACCAAGGGGGGAGATACTCGCAACAGAAATAGGAATCTGAAGTGTTTCCTCACTGAAGAAAATCTGTAAGTTTTGTATGTTGGGGTAATAAGAGCTGGTTGTACTCCAGGCAAAGGAAAGTACTTATAAGAGCTACCCCAGAAGCAAGGCTGCACAGGGGTTAGGCTACAGGAGAGGGCAGCCACCAATAGCTGGGAGCAATAACCACTTGTCTTTAGACACTGCTTCCAGGCAAGATCCCATCTACAATCTTAGCTGATTTTGTGGTTTCAGCAGGTCATCCCATGTAAATCTACATCCCCACATGCATTGATACCTCCAGCATCACCCAGCTGTCACATCCTATGCATTATTGACTGGATCTCCTCAGGAATAATAATCACAGGGAAGGAAGTTCTATTCACTTTTCCCCAAATATGGTACAGAGAACGGTATAAGAAGCCTTCTGCCCCTTGTTGTTAGGTGAAGCGGTAGCTTGATGTGGCCACAGCCATTGTCACAATGGTGGCTTGAGCATAAGTATAGCCCCTCTTGCTACCAAATACTAGTGTATAAGTAGCTTGAGGTATGTCTGCACAGTTCAACTGGAGAGATGAAATTCTTGACCTTTTCAACAGGTCACAGAACTGCCACTTCACTTTGCACATCATTCCTCTGACTGATGTAACATTCCTCCTAGAACTACTGTTATGCCATAATTTGCACATAACCCAGGAATCACTGACTTCGGTTCAGAGCACCAGTGAGGATAAAAAGTTTACTGCATCATAGATGTAACATTCAGCTCTGGTATTTGAACAAATCTCTAGAAAACCTGATTGTGAAATCAAATTCAAGTACCACTGAATGTGAAAAACACCAAACAAATGTAAACAAGCTTTAGCCTACTTTTCAGTGCATACCATTAAACATTACACCCCAGCTTACTTTAGAAGCACCATAGATCGTCAACATTGGTGTTGGCTGACAACAGGATGCAGAAGAAATATTCACAATTGCACCTTTCTTCTTCTCTAGCATGCCTGGCAGCACAATATGTGTCATCATGTTAGCAGAAGCAATATTTATGTTGATCATGTCCCACAGCATATCCTCAGACAGATTGGTAAAATAGTCCGGGTAGGAATAAAACATTCCTACATTATTCACCAAAATCCCAATTTCTCTGTCTTTCAGAGCCTCCTTAATGGCTGGGTAAGGCTCACGACCCTTGCTGAAGTCAGCTACTATGAAATCTGTTTCCACTTCATAGGTTTCAGATATGCTTTTAGATACAGCCTCCAGCTTCTCTTTGTTTCGGCTGATTAAGATAATGTTGACACCACGCTTCGCCAGTTCTTCAGCATACGCTTTCCCAATACCATCTGTGCTACCTGTAATAGAAAATAAAAAACCCAAAGTGAAAATCAGAGCAGCTGCAGCCTTCTATTTTGACAGTTCTTTCAATTATAGAAGAACCTGAGCACATAAGAAAACCCCATAACAAAGAGAGTATCTTGTCTGCATCTCTGTCTCTGCTTGTGGATGTTCAGGGTGTACCTTCAAGTTTGGGGATAAACTGCTCTGTGATTCTTTTCCAGCAATCAGTCAACACACTGAGCTTGCCCATCTCCTGAGGAATTTAATTTAGTAAGGTGCTGAACAACTGTCACTGCTCAGACCAAGTAATTCACCACCTGAGGTAATACAGGCCTCAGCTTGTGGCAGAAAGTTCACCCAGCAGTATGTGCTACCAAGTTTTACAGTATGACACAGTATGTTATACACACATAAGCAAATAATTCTGCTTCAGTCGCTTACCAGTGACCACGGCCCATTTTCCATAGCGCTTGACAAGATCAATCTCGCCACCCAGCTTTGGAATTAAATGCAACCTAAGCATGCTGTAAGTGTCAACCGCAAGGGACATACACTTCCTGACTGTGTACCAAGCTCCAACTATAGCCAAGGCCTCTATGTAAAAATTGCAGGAACGACTGATCTCTCTGTACAAGAGGTGGAAACAATCCACTGCAGCCATGGTGACCACAAGCCTGGAAAAAAAAAAAAAGATAGACACAGAAAATAACAGCTGCCTCTTGAGACGCATAAACTTTTCAGACACTACGGATAACCTTTGAGATCAGCATGTTACAGCCTGAGGTCTGAGCACCATTTTGATGCAGAAAATCCACAAGTCAGCCTGCTAAAATTTGGATAGCTTCTTGGGGATAAACTGCTCTGTGCAATGGCTCTGATCAATCATACTGCCAATAAAACATAGATCACAGACACAACCAGGTTGGAAAAGACCTTTAAGATCATCAAGTCCAACCATCACCCCAGGACTGCCAAGTCCACCACTAAACCACGTCACTGAGGGCCTCATCTACACAGTTTCTTAACACTTCCAGTAGTGATTCCACTACTTCCCTGGGAAGCCTGTTCCAATGGCTGATCACCCTCCCAGTGAAGAAATTCCCAGATAGGGGCAGCTCAACATACAAAGCTAATATTGGAAGATAAGAACAACCTACAAAAGAGGCAGGGATAAACCAGAAGGAGAGAGCTGAGCACACAAGAAACAACGGGCTCTTTCAAGCACAGAAAACCACGAGACACAGCCAGCTCAGAGGCAGAAGCATCCACCGCGGCACTCGGGACTGAAAATCCTTCAATCACGGCATACTGCCGTGCGCTAATGTCACACCGCACACCGGCTTTCAGCAGAAAAAACCTCACATGGTTTTTACTGGTAAATACTTTTTAAAACAAGCACAGAACCCAACCACCGCCTCCT